GTAAACATCACGAACTTTAAGTCATGATGGATTGTTGTAACGGTGAAGTTATGATCTCGAAACGCTTAGACATACGTTGTCAACATAGGCATAAAAGGTGAAATCTTAGCTACCCTCGTCAGCCAGCCTTCAGAATAAGCGACATTAAACACTGGACACTCCTTTGTGAAGAGCTTCCTGCTCTGTCTTTTTCGCTTTCTTCTGCCTTTTCGATAATTATTTCCCTTCTTTGATCCATTCGTTACTACTTAATTTCCCGTACTTTTTACTTACGTGTTGTTTCGTGCGAAGGTGTGTGAGTCGTCCTCGAGCTGAAGTACATTTCCTAACTACTTTTATTTTGAAAAGCATCAAAGAACCGCGAGAATTGAATACTTTTGCAGTATGATCGTAAGAATAAATATCAGGTCAAGTATTAGCTCGCCTTATTCAACAGCAAAGGTGAACTTAATTCAACTTCTGTGGATTTAGTGCGACGGACGGAGGAACTTCGCAGGCCAGCGTTTCGTCCCTACGATGTTATTTTAGACTTTAGACTTTTAGATTAAAAAAAAATTTTTTTTCACCCATCAGAGCTGTTCTGAGCTACCACTCTTTGAAGTTTTACAAGGACCTTGCATAACCCAGAAATTCTCGCAGTATTTCACTGTTCAAGAAGACACAATGTTCCACGCCCGGACAACGTTTATTCTCCAGTCAATAGTGTGCCTCAAAGGATCCTAAGAGTGCAATTGCCGCACGGGCCCGCAAGGAGAGAATGGTACGCGGTGGTGATACGTTTTGGACCTGGGATTCTGAACTTTGCAGTACCGGCCGGTAGAGAAAGTCCTGAACTTCCAAGTTCCGGTTCCTTACAACAAGTAGGCTACAAACTGCATACACTGCGTGGGTCACACACATGAAAAGAGTTGTGTGCCGGTCTATAAGCTCTGTTCAGCAACGGCTTAGCTTAGAGGTTTTGTTTTTCCTTTTTATTAGGTGTCTGGTAAGATTTTTCTATTACTTCCCGTGATATTTTAAATTTGCCACCGATTACAAAATTCATCATCGCTTCTGAATCATCCAATAGGCGCTATACAAGTACAATACATTTAACATTGTTTTGTATTCCAGTTGTTGTCACCTGTGTCAGATAATTACTTCATTGTTGTTGAAAATACATACATGGTGGCTTGGGCTGTAGCCAATGGCTTTTCAGTTTGGTCACCTGCCGTCATTTTGAGATCTGCATTTACAAAGTAATGTCAGTTAGTGCTGGTTTGTGCCTGATTGATTGAAACAAAGCACAGAAAGAGTAAACACTCAAGACAAATTGAAGCTGTGATAGGTGCGGCAGTGCTTTGAGCTAAATGCTAACATCAGCATGCCAACATGCTTACAATGATAACATTTGGATGCTAAGTAGGTAAGAGTCATGCCACTAGTACTCGTTATTGTTAACAGATCCATCTTCATGATGCAAACTCCATGCACTGATGATGATGGTGTGTTAAAGCTGCAGTACGTAACTTTCATAAAAATTACTTTTTGTCCCCCATCCTGATAGAAAAACACCAATCAAAGCCAGGAACAATCATTGATTGTTGAGTCTCTTTCCCAGTGCGTCAAATACCGACGACTTGGGACCCTGGGATTGAGACTCAACTGTCAACTATCTTCAAGCCTCCAACCCTCTATCTTTCTCAGCTCTGATTGGCTGTTTTCGTTCAAGCATGGTGGATCCTTGCAAATTGCTCGAACGAGCCAGAGATGTAGGGATGTCACAAGAATCTGACAGTACTAATTTTTCTACTGGACCAAAGGTACCGAGGATGCAATTCTCCCAGACCTGACGGCACAGCATATATGCCTACAAATACTCAAAGGAAGAAGAACATGTAGAATATTGTTGGTGCAGCTGTACAGGTGAACTTTTGTGCACAGAGCTCTGTCGTCAAATCTGTCCTTCAACTGTGTGTGTGGAAGGTGTGTGTGTGTGTGTGTGTGTGTGTGTGTGTGTGTGAGTGTGCAGGAGCCCAGCGGTGAGCTCCTTGTCAGAGGCGAGAGAGCCGCACACTCGCCATGCCACTGCAAGTGCAACAAAAGCCTATTAAACAAAAAGCAAATAAGAGTAATTTATTAACGTAATCCGTGCAGGTAACTTAGCTCAAGGCTGCACTGAAGCAATTAATGAAAATATATCACTGAAAGTTTGTTTGGCTGTTTAGCATAAAAAAATGTATAATGGGCTATATTTATATCAATATATTATGTTTAAAAAACTTTAAGGAACAGCTTGGTTGCAGACAATGTTTTTCTTAATGCAATGAGAGCTGTTCACCTGTATTATTAAGGAAAATACAAGTACTGGAACAGCACTCAGTATTAGCAGATATTAAATGGGGATCGGGGAATTTTTAGTGTGTTATTAAATTGGTATTGAGAATCGTAGGGTTTCACTGGTATTGGTATTGAGTACTAAAGTTCTGGTATTGAGTACTAAAGTTCTGGTATTGTGCTTCAACATCTCTGGAAAAAAGCTCTTTCAACTATTTTAATATTGCTTGCTTTTACTGTATGTTATTGCATTACTGCATTTGCATCTTAAAATTGTGAGAACATTATTATTAATAGTTAACTGTGGGAGTAGTAGTAGAAAAAGCCAGATTCACAACACCTTCTCTTGTTCTATTTTCTAGGTCCCGTGTTCTATATAAAGGGGAAATGTACATACATGGAGATTTTAAAAACACAGTAGGATGCTTTTAAAGCACCAGATTCTACACACATATGTGAGTGTATTGCTCTTTTAACACACACTCTTTAAAGTGGAGGAGGAGATATCAGGCAGGAGAGAGAAATTGCACTTGATTGACCTCTGCCAACCCCATTTTCTCATTGGCGACTGGGTGTTGGACGGCACATAGGCCGCAACCCCTTTACCAATTGTAGTTGTTGGTGAAAACCTTGTATTTGGAGGTTGACAGTTTTCTGGAAGTAAGAAAAAAGCTTTATTTTAGCTAGAACGACAAATACATTCAGACTCACCCACACTAATGGAAGAAAGGTCTCAACTAGGGATTCACGATGATATCACCTCTTCATTTGTTTCGGCAGATAAAGGCTTTAAAATTAAATGATCAGCATCTGCAAATTCTTCTGATATGCTTGAATTACATTATTCACTCAGCTAAAAGTATGTCTGCATTGTGGAGGTCAGCATGGGTCATTCTTTCAACACATAGGCATAATAATATGTTAATTCCACTACAGGAGGGACTTGGCTGGAGCCCTGGATGCCACTTTGTACCTGTACTGAAACTTGGCACTACTAATAGTTCTCAGAGTTCTCAGAGTGTGCACCTGGATTAACTAATATGTCTGCACTGTTGAACTGCAAATTACAAAACTCAAATGGTGGACAGATGGGATGCCCTGGGTTCGACTCTGACCTGTTACCCTTTGTTGGTGTAATCCCTTCTCTCTCCACCCTTCCTGTCACACAAATATTTTAAAAAAGGTGGACAGATACACATTCACACCAATGTTAGTAATATTAGATATGACATCAAGAAGTGTTTTTTAAATATCAGTAGGGTTCTTCCCCTGGGAAATGTCAATATGCAGCATAAAACAACATTGTGTCTCTGTCATCCAGCTTTGTGTAGCTGAAATGTTTAAAAACTTACAGCCAGGTTTAATTTTAAGTTCCTTTGCCATTGCTTGTTTGAGTTACTGCCACTAGTTTGAACTCCATCCTAACGATATTTTGGATTTGGCGCAGAAGGAATCATGAATTAAAAGCATTATTTGGGTTCAAACCAAGAAAGTACAAATAGTGAGAGAAAATCACTTGTTTGCATATGTTTTCTCATAATTATCTATAAATTATACAATGTACATGTGAGTAAATATTCTACTATTATCCATTATATTCATATGCTTAATGTGACATTAATACACATTTGTGTCTTACTGTTTTGTAGTAAACATGCACCAGAGTTTGGACTTGTAGGCCTTTTCTGTGAAACTTAATGCATACATTCTCAAAGTATGATAGAAATTTATGCCATATGTCTCTCTTAGAGTCTTTTTCCCACTTTGTCTCTGTTATCATCTGATCACTTTTCCCTTAATGTAGAATCTATATTAAGCAGCACACTTTAACTGCTACTCAGAATAATCTGTGGCAGCGACTCTCATTTTTTTTAATGTTGCAGGGAGTTTTGCAACTTTGTAGATACATTTTCTAAAAGTGAAAAATGCAGCCAATTAATGATATAACTGTTGTCTCCCCTAACATAAACTGACAGTCTGTCTAAATGAGTTACAGAAGGACACGGCACACAGGCAGACAGAGAACATTTGGCTTTGACAGTTGACAGGTGTTTTCATGATTCCCAAAGACAGCGGCTGCCAATAAAAATAACTTTTTACTTTTACTTCCATTAAAGTAGCTGTAAATTGACCACAGTAACTAATTGTAAGTAAAGGCTAAGCTTTGATTTTTGATTTTTATTGCACAGAGAACACTTTCCTGAAATGCTATTTTTAATTTGTTTCAGCTAATCTTTTAACAGTTTTATGTTTAATGTGACTTACACAGGCCACTATAGACAAGTTAAAGTTTAACATCAAGATGGCACCACGTACGGTTGTTGTTTCTTGTTTTGTTTGTTAACTCAGTTTTTGGCTGTGATACCCGGAGCTCTTTCACTAGAGAAGAGCTCATGAACATCAGGGGAACAACTCCAGCTGATCTCTTTCCCACTTTTCTTCTTTCTTC